AGGCACTCTCATCTAATTCAGCGCATACTTCCCGAGATCCGCAACTATTCTTCATTCCAATATTTGCAGGCACTCTCATCTAATTCAGCGCATACTTCCCGAGATCCGCAACTATTTTACAAAAGCCCTGACCAAGCCTAACCTCCATGGCTCACGGTTGTAGATGGCTGGACCGTGCACTTATTCATCATCTCTAACTAAAAAAACAGGATGTACAGATAGTGGTAGATTTGGTTGCTGCAACCGAGCAAGCTAGAATGAGGTTCGAATTAGTTAATTTGTTTGATGGCTCATGATCCTTTGGCTTTTCTTTTTTCTTCTAATGAGTTTAGGGTTTTGATCTTTGTATAAAGTCTTTAGTAATAGCATTGCTAGATAGAATGACCTCATTCCTCACATCGACCTTATCCTTGAAACGCATTGCATTTATTTTATGAATTGATGCATCTTCCCAAATGACTAAGCTCTTGTGAAGACACAATTCAGTTGGAGAACACTGTAAATTTGACCACCGGTTATATCAATTTCAGGGGTTCAACAGGTTTTTTTGGACTGGGTTAATCTTTTGAAATAATTTTGATTTCGTTATATTATATATTTATTTATTACTTTTACTGTGTGAAGTCCTTTAACAGACTTGACTGTAATTAGGTAATTAAGATCAAAACCCGTTTATTAACTTTTTAATTGATTTACTTTAAGTGTGGTTTTGTTAGTAATTTTACTTTAAATAAAACTATGGAATGCATGTTACAATTTCATTTTTTAGATTAGATTTCACGTGATTCCTACATTAATTTCTTCATTTTAACCATAATTCATATATTTCCTTGGAGCACCATGGGCCCATTTCCGTATGATTGCCTTTGTTTTTTCTCTGTATATAAATGACACGCTTTTAATGATTCCAAACATACTTCCAACTATTTCTTTGAAGTACTACACATTCATTAATAAATCAAAACTATGTATAAATGTTTACCTTAAAGCAATTTTATTCATGCTTTGATGTGACATGTGAAATGATTATGAAAATTATTGATACTCAAATAATTTGTATCAAAATATCATTTTTTATCGGTGGTAAATTATTTAAATATAAGACTGAATTAAAATGGGCTAGAACTCATAATTTTGTTAAAAAATGATAAGTGAGTAAGTGAGATTGTACTGTCAAAGTCATATCGTCCTTGGACTTTCAAACTTTCCCTCAAGATTTTAAAAAGTGAGTGTATGTGTTAGGAAGAGGTTTACACATCTTTATAAAGAATGATGTTTCCCTCTCCAATCGATCTCACAATCCATCTCCTTGGAGTCTAGTGTCCTTTTTGACCCATCATTCGGTGTCTGACTCTTATATTATTTGTAATAGCTCAATCTCACCGTTAGCATATATTGTGTTTTTTAAGTCTCCTCTATGGGGGCTTCACTCAAAGATTTTAAAACACATGTTAAGCATATATTGTGTTTTTTAAGTCTTCTCTTTGGAGGCTTCACTCAAAGATTTTAAAACACATGTTAGGAAGAAGTTTTCACACCTTATAAAACATGTTTCGTTCCCCCTCTAACCGACTTTAGATCTCACCCGGATAGTTTAAATGGTTAGGAATCATATTTTTTCCTACTCCCATAATAACGAGAGAATATATTTTTAGATGATTAAAAAGAAAAAGAGCTGAAAGTCGAGGCTTTGAAAGCGACTTTGCAAAAATCGAAACCTGGCGACAGGGGCCATCCTCTGCCTGAAACTTCAAATTTGCAAAACTTCTCTGTTCGGCTTCCGCCAATTGGACGCAAACGCTAGCCCTCCTCGAAACCCCCACCATTGGCCTTCGCCCCGACAATTATAATCAATATTTTACCATTTCCACGTCTCCCTTTTTAACTTTCCCTCTCTTCTAGTTTAGATTTTTTCCTTCTATCCTCTTCTCTCGTCTTCTACAGTCACTCGCTGACATCCTCCATACATCTCCAGCAGGTGAACAACACTTCTTTTCTCTTTTCTTGTTGCTCTGTTTGCTTTTCATTACAGGGTTTTCTTCATTCCCTCCTTTTGTTGCTTGTTTGCGTTTGTGGGTTTTCTTCCATTTTCTTTCGAACCTCGTTTTTTAAGTGTTTGAAGCTTTGTTTTGTGTTAGATCCATAATAGTTGTTGCTAGTTTGTGTTTTTATCTTCTGGGGTTAATTTTAAGAAAAATGGGCTTCTGGTAATGTTTTTGTTTTTTGTCACTCTATCTTGTTGGTGGACTACCCTCTGTTATTTAGGTGAACACAGAGATAGTTCAGAAGGGAAAAGTTTTAGGCAGAGCTGGATATGGAATTCTTCTTCCTATCTGTGTCCTTTTTGTTTCTACTTCTTATTGGACTAGAAGAATGGTTGGATGATTGCTTAGTGGAGCTTGGAAATATGTTTTAGCTCTGTTTCTTTGCTGATATTGTAATATGTTTGGGTACTAATGATTTTTTTGGCTCATGGCTTTGTGTGTCCTAACTTGTCTCTATTACCTAGTGACTATGATTTTCTGAAGAACTAGACACTTCTGTTAAGTTTATTTCTATTCTATTCACTGTAGGTGGCTGGATTTGAGCACTTCTGATAATGGACTTTGAAAACACAAATTTGGAATGTAGACCATTGTCGATCAAATTGTGGCCTCCTAGTGACAATACCCGGAATATGCTTGTGGAACGGATGACATCTAACCTTACCAGCAAATCCTTTTTCACCCAGAAGTATGGTACTCTTAGTCGGGAAGAGGCCACAGATGAGTCGAAGAGAATTGAAGACATTGCTTTTGCTACAGCTAATCAGAACTATGAAAACCAGCCTGATGGTGATGGAAGTGCTGCTGTGCAACTTTATGCCAAGGAGTGTAGCAGGCTTCTTCTCGAGGTTCTTAAGAGAGGTCCTAGAGTCGAGGCAGACAAGGAGGAGGTTGGATCTGATATCACTAGTGCTCCACGTGAAACCTTTTTCGACATCTCAAAAGGTCGACGGGGGTTTTTTGAGGCAGAGGAAGCTGAAGAACTACTAAAGCCTTTGAAAGAGCCAGGGAATTCTTATACCGTTTTTTGAGGCAGAGGAAGCTGAAGAACTACTAAAGCCTTTGAAAGAGCCAGGGAATTCTTATACCAAGATATGTTTTAGCAACAGAAGCTTTGGTTTAGATGCAGCTCGTGTTACTGAGCCCATTCTTGTATCCCTCAAGAATCAGTTAAAAGAAGTGGACCTCTCTGATTTTATTGCAGGCTGAGCCCATTCTTGTATCCCTCAAGAATCAGTTAAAAGAAGTGGACCTCTCTGATTTTATTGCAGGAAGAACAGAGTCAGAAGCTCTAGAAGTCATGAAATTGTTCTCAGATGCTTTAGAAGGCAGCATCTTGAGGTCTCTGAACCTCTCAAACAACGCCTTAGGTGAGAAAGGTGTTAGAGCTTTTGGCTCTCATCTTGAGGTCTCTGAACCTCTCAAACAACGCCTTAGGTGAGAAAGGTGTTAGAGCTTTTGGCTCTCTCCTGAAATCACAGACTTGGTTAGAGGAGCTATACTTGATGAATGATGGCATTTCCAAGGAAGCTGCTCAGGCAGTGTCCGAGTTGATTCCTTCAACGGATAAGCTTAGAGTCCTTCAATTTCATAATAACATGACAGGCGATGAAGGTGCTCTTTCCATCGCTGAAATCGTGAAGCGTTCTCCTCTATTGGAAGATTTCCGCTGCTCCTCTTCACGGATAGACTCTGAAGGAAATCGTGAAGCGTTCTCCTCTATTGGAAGATTTCCGCTGCTCCTCTTCACGGATAGACTCTGAAGGGGGAGTTGCCTTATGTATAGCACTCGAAACTTGTACCAACTTGAAGAAACTTGATCTTCAAGACAACATGCTTGGAGTGGAAGGTGGATTTGCTCTGAGTAAGTCCCTTGCATACCATGTAGATCTCAAGGAGTTGTATTTGAGCTACCTGAACTTGGAAGATGAAGGTGCAATTGCCATAGCTAATGCACTAAAGGACACAGCTCCTGCACTAGAAGTCTTGGAAATGGCTGGTAATGACATAACAGCTGAAGCTGCTTCTGTATTAGCTGCTGGAATAGCTAAAAAATCCCATCTTACCAGCTTGAATCTGGCCGAGAGCTGCTTCTGTATTAGCTGCTGGAATAGCTAAAAAATCCCATCTTACCAGCTTGAATCTGGCCGAGAATGAACTGAAGGATGAAGGAACTATCCTGATCAGTAAGGCACTAGGTCACATCAAAATAAAAGAAGTTGATATGAGTACTAACTTAATAAGGCGGGCAGGGGCTCGGGTTTTAGCTCAGACTGTGGTTCAGAAGCCTGGTTTTGTGTTGCTGAACATCAATGGAAATTTCATTTCTGATGAAGGCATTGATGAGGTGAAAGACATTTTCAAGAAACATCCGAATATGCTTGGGCCCTTGGATGGAAATGATCCCTGATGAGGTGAAAGACATTTTCAAGAAACATCCGAATATGCTTGGGCCCTTGGATGGAAATGATCCCGAGGGGGTAGATGGGGATGGGGACGAGGACGAGGACGAGGATAAGGATCCCGTAGCAGACGAGAACGATGAGGATGAATTGGGATCAAAACTAAAGAACCTTGAAGTTGATCAAGAGAACTAGAGGTTGGTTTAGGCCATTTGCAAGATGTTTCTCTTAAACTTTAGTGTTTGAAGAGAGGAATCTGTTGTTTTAGTTTGGGATTTTTATCTAATTTAAGCAACCAGCATGGTACGTGCTAGATGGTCTGTAGCCGTAGGTTTTATTTGGTCTTTGCTTAGGCACTCTGCTGTGTTCGTGTGACCACTGATGATAGGAACTTTTGCCATGAACCGCATCTCTATATCCCTTTCATTGCCTCCCTTTTTCAGAGGAATGGATAGGAACTTTTGCCATGAACCGCATCTCTATATCCCTTTCATTGCCTCCCTTTTTCAGAGGAATGGATGAAGGATGGATCTTCCTCCCAACTCAGTGGAGATTAGCTTGGAAAGCTTGTTTATATTGATTGGAGTGGATGTTCTATTACCTGTACTTCAAGTTACCATAAAACTTGTTAAAATAAAGCAGATAGTTATGTTCTTTTCGATTTCTTACATTTTGTCGTCTCCTCCACCTCTGTGCTGCCATCACGGTACCGTTGTCTCAATTTTTCATCCCTGCGTATTCTTCTTCACTTTCCATTTCATTTCGACTTTGAGTGTCCTTTTGCCACCACTTCCATCCCTGCGTATTCTTCTTCACTTTCCATTTCATTTCGACTTTGAGTGTCCTTTTGCCACCACTTCCTGCACAACATGAGCAAGCTTTTCTATTTTCCATTTCATTTTGACATATACAGCCTGTGTCAATTACAAAGTATGTACATCAGAATTTAGGTACCAATTAAATTCCCATATAAATGCTTCATGGTGGCAATTACAAAGTATGTACATCAGAATTTAGGTACCAATTAAATTCCCATATAAATGCTTCATGGTGGCCAATGGAGCAAAAGAGACAAATACGTTTGTTACAACGTTTTAGAGATATTATAGTAGCAATGAACAAATATACTATATTTGAGACAAATACGTTTGTTACAACGTTTTAGAGATATTATAGTAGCAATGAACAAATATACTATATTTGATGAGAAAATACACATTAGATCTCCCAAATACAATATTTGATGTGTATTTAAATCTTGTCCATATTCAGAAGGCCGAGAAAATCACACAAACATGAATTTAAGCGGCCCCAATTTCCATGACAATTAAAATTACAACACTGAGAGAAAATCACACAAACATGAATTTAAGCGGCCCCAATTTCCATGACAATTAAAATTACAACACTGAGGGGCAGGACGTACTATCTTTTTAAGCCTTTTGTTACAATAAAAAATGAACCATGGGCGCTAATGAATCAACTGCCAAGTTCAAGCCATGTGGGAAACCGACTCCAGGAGAGCTCATGAATTTTGCAGTTTCTAACAATCATGGTCTGAAGTTGAACATTCAAATCGACTCCAGGAGAGCTCATGAATTTTGCAGTTTCTAACAATCATGGTCTGAAGTTGAACATTCAAATCTAATCTGCTGAAATCTAATTTGACAACTTTGTTTCAGTTCGAGTACTAAAAGAACTTAGTAGCCGTAATAATATATGTCCTTACCTTACTCAGACCAACATCAACTGGGTGTTACTCTAGCATTCGGAGCTGTAATAATATATGTCCTTACCTTACTCAGACCAACATCAACTGGGTGTTACTCTAGCATTCGGAGCTGTTCTTTGAGTGTGAGGGTAACACCCAAGTTTAACATGACAAAATGAGGTCTAAAATGTAATGTGCACGAGAAGAAACAGAGTAGCCAAGGATGTCAACATTACGAAGCAGAAGTCATCCAAAGTTATAGTCAGAAAGATACACATAATTAAATATTCAATAGACTATAAGAAAGGGGGAAAAAAAAAAAAGAAGCTTAGGCATTGAGAAAAGGAAGGAAGCATAGGGGGAAAAGAAGCTTAGGGATATAGTCAACTAGAGCACTGGGAACCTTTCTTGATGCTATACCAGGAAAACTAATAAAGTTAGAGAGGAAAAGTTTGTAGGAGAAAGAGATGGACAAAGCTTATGGTAACTGGAAATGACTGCTGGCAGGAAACCAAGAAATCAAGCAGACACTAGAATTTGGCTTCTTCATTCCTCGGCAGAGTTTTTGCAAACAATAATTTCCTAATAATGTTGTCACAAAGAGAAATCATGAAAGCGGATATGGCTAAAACTGTTTGGAAGAAAAAGGGCCAAAAAAGTGATGTTCTTCAACTGGACGCTGAACTGAATTGATTCAAAGTTAGAACTAACATGTTCCCAGTCTTCTTTAAAACACAAGCATCGGTTTCACGTGCAGATTATATGAGAATTCAGCCTCATTATATGACAGAATTTAGTAGAGACTTCTAACATTTACCTTCTCGATATGGACCCCATTCATGGTCATTATATGACAGAATTTAGTAGAGACTTCTAACATTTACCTTCTCGATATGGACCCCATTCATGGTTGCGCAAATGGTGAGGAGCATCAAGCGGTGGCAACATCCCCTATAACAAATTTTTGATTGAAAGAAGATCAGAAGAAAAACAGGAAATGTTACTTCTTGTTGATTAAAGCAACCAATCAATTTAAGGAAAGAAGATCAGAAGAAAAACAGGAAATGTTACTTCTTGTTGATTAAAGCAACCAATCAATTTAAGGTCGGACCACAAATCTTAGATTGTTGTGCTTTGGGAAAAGAGCTTTTCTCAAGTATTGTGGAGTCTCAAGATACTTCAAGTTCATGATTCCTTATAAGAAAAGCAGCGCCACTTTGCTCATCATCAGAATTGTTCGCTGCCGCAACATCCGTGATTCCTTATAAGAAAAGCAGCGCCACTTTGCTCATCATCAGAATTGTTCGCTGCCGCAACATCCGAGTCAGTCACCGAACTCCTTCTACTGTCGAATACCACTACCTGATACTTGCAAAAACTATATTCCTGAGTTGAACAATTTCAATGAAGCCAATGACTGTCCTAGAAAATTTCAAGTAACGAAATGAGAAAGATGGAGACCTCGTCAATTCGGAATATGGTTGCTGCACGAGCAATTTGACCAGCCAACTATGAAGAAGTTCATACAACATTAGGAGAAGGGAAAGTTGTTACAATGTCAATCACATCACTTCGTTTGAACGTGGCGAAAATGAATTGAGAGAGCAGAAAAATCAACACAACCTTCGAACCAAAGATATCAAATCATTCAAAGAGAAAACATAACGAATTACAATCTTCCTAGGGACAGGGGAAAGGGGGAGAAACTAAATCATTCAAAGAGAAAACATAACGAATTACAATCTTCCTAGGGACAGGGGAAAGGGGGAGAAACTCGAAAAACACTCGCCTATAAGGGAGAAAATGCATACTCTAGTGGCAATCTCGAGGGATCGAGCGTTGTCGATGATGGAACCGGATACCGCAATGGTCACTCTAGGTTTTGAAATCGATCTCCTCCTCTCCCCTTCAATTTCATTATTCTCGAATTTCCTCTCCTCCTCCTCTCCCCTTCAATTTCATTATTCTCGAATTTCCTCTCCTCCTCTTTCGAAGGAAAGCTTCCATTGACAAGCTCAGCTACATTCTGCGCTTCAAAGTCGTATCTTTCAAGTGCCTCCATTAAGCCCATGGGCTCATTTGGGCTATACAGACTCTTCCTTTCCCAAGCTTACAAAGCCCAGTAAATTACACGACGGCCCATTATACTTTTGGGCTTTCTGATTCGCTATTACACACCCAAAATAAGCCCATGGGCCCAGTTGGGCTATACAAGTTAATGGATAATGCTTTTTTTAAAAAAAAGAATAATAAAATATTTATAGTGATATATTAATAAATAAAATTATATTGTTTTACAATTTTCAGTTAGAAAAGGTTATATATGTGATTAGTCTGGACCACAATCAACAAACAAAAAATAAAAAATAAAATATTTTTGAAAAAGCATAAATAATTTGCCCATAGAAAAATCAAATAAATAAATAAAATCCATTTAAAAACAAAAAAAAAAAAACAAAAAAGGTGACGTGACAGCCACTGCTCGACATCTTCCTTTGAAATTGGGGATGATTACAAAATCTAAAAAGGAAAGAAATATCACTACTCCTAATTTTGGGTCAAAAAAAGAAGAAGCCCCATATTTTGTTTCGTACAAATAATAATAATAATAATTGCATAAATCACCCCTAATTTATGGAATTTTCACTTTTTAAACTTTTTTGATTTGACTAATTAATCCCTCCAATTTTTAAATTTTTAATTTTAAGAGATTTTAATTATTAATATAAATGGATCCGCGAAAGAGGAGGGTGGGGCCACCAGTGCCCTGCGGCAAGATCGTGAAAATCTTGAGAAATTCCGTTTGTTTCCCGAGAAAATTACAAGCGAATCTACTGCAAAATTTCATCTTCAGATTCATATTATCATTATCATCATTATTTGGTATGCAGTGTTCAAAGATTTCTTGACAGACACAAAAAGATTATAAATAAAATAAAGCTTTCTGGAAAAGCCAAAAATTCAAAGATTTCTTGACAGACACAAAAAGATTATAAATAAAATAAAGCTTTCTGGAAAAGCCAAAAACAGAACAAAAGAAATTTAGAAAGCTACCACACCATCCTTCATCCCTTTCCACAATCTTTTTGACCTATTCAATTCTCCGCTCCCCATTTTGTTTTCTTTGTAACTTCATATTTCCAGTGTCCGTGTGGGATTTCACCGATCCGAATATAAGAAAGGATACATAGATCAATCTACCGTATTGGTCGTATTCTCGATTTTGGAATGAAAAGAGGAGCTATGTTTCCTAGCACGGGACACAAATAGTATACATAGAAATGTTACAACAGTGAGTCGAATTGAACATATGTTTCCTAGCACGGGACACAAATAGTATACATAGAAATGTTACAACAGTGAGTCGAATTGAACATCAAAGAGATTAGTTGACAACAATAAACAAATGGGCGTCTAATTCCCATAACAACAAGGATCTATTAGTGCAAGTCAGCTAAACACTGTGATTAATGAGCAAATAGCTACACCTCTCGCCCAATGAAAAGTATTGAATCTCGTCTCTCCCCTTCCAAATCAAGGAGTGGGGCACGTGTTTTTCTCTCCTCTCTCTCCCTCTATTTCCCGGTAGAGAAATTTGTAAGGACCCAAGCTCTTAGTAGATATTGTTTTCTTTGGATTTTTTTTTTCTCTGGGTTTCCCCCTAAAACACGTATGTTCGAGAGAAGTTTCCACATCCTATTCGTTTACCTCTCTAACTAATGTAGAATTTCACAAAATAACATTCTCGATCACTTCTTCTTCAGTTCAAATAATAGTCTATATCTAATGCAACATGGATTGAACCGTACGTTGAATCATAGAAAGAAATTAGGTAATGGAACTCACTTTTTTAATGGTTTGAACCGAACGTCATACGAAACGTAACATCCAAGTACTTAACAACCAAGCAAAGAACAAAAAGAAGAGTAAAAGAAAAAATTCAAACTTTTTAAATTTTTTTGTCAATTAATTCTAAAAAAATATCCAACACCAAATCAAAGCAACTCCTTTTTTGTTTCTTCTTTTCATATCATGCCTCTCAAGCTTTTTCCCTAATGAATTATTATACACGTGGAGCAGTCTTATTGGCTCCACGCTCTCCCTGTTGATTAGATCAAATAAAATGGGCTTTGGATGGGATTGCAATTGACGGAAACTTTCGGGGTAATGGAGTTTTTTTTAAGCTAAACGACATCGTTTTCTTGGTTTGCCTGTCTACGTGGCATCCCCCAGCAATTTTTTTTTTTTTTTGGTTTCGCCTTTTTTGGTTAAATATATTTCTATTTTAATTATTTTACGTAACAAATTGCATGCATCACATCAAATCAAATTTAATATAATTCATCAAAAACGTAATTATTTTACGTAACAAATTGCATGCATCACATCAAATCAAATTTAATATAATTCATCAAAAACGTCACATATTTCTTAGGTCATAAATTTAATATATGGTTTTTTATAATCAAATCAAATTCGACTTTGACCATACAAGTGGATCTAGAAACCTTCATTACGAAGTATTTTTATTTATTATATACTTATCCGTAATAGAAAGTTGTCACAACTTAAGGTGGGTTTGCTTTCTAGTCGTCCAAAGTTTGCCTTTTTACTAATTGATTAAAGGAGGAGAGGGTCAGGACAGACAGTGTCAAGAAGAACATATGTCATCAATTTTGGAGTGATCTTATTCATAGTTTGGAAGGGGGAAGGAGTCTAATTCTCGTAGGCAGTTCACACACGACAAGATAATAGCCGCACACAAAACTACTTCCATGTTGAGTCGGGGGATGCGAAACGACCTTAAAAGACCTTTCGCACTATCTTAAGAAAGTAAAAAAACATCCGTTTTGAGACCATGACGCAACCAATCGTCTAGTAGCAATCGCGCTCGATTGAAGAGAAAAAGTTAGCACAAGGTAAATTAGCTACTTTAATAAGCTTTATCCAAGTCTTAGTTAGAGCCTTGTGACATATTTTTAAGAGGCCATTTTTTTTTACCAATTTTAAAACAAATCTTATCCGTATCTTTAAATTTTTTTTATTGAAATTCATTATTGTGTTCGTTGTCATTTTTAAAATATGTTTTAATTTCGGTAACTAAGAAATGCCTGAAATAATTCTATCCAATTATAGAATTTTATCAAAATATAGGGATCAAATTATAATTTTTTCAAAATTATAGGATAAAATTTACAATTTAACCATTTTTTTTTTTGCAATAAAATATATGCTATTTCAATCGATATCGAGTATCTTTTTCGAACGGTTTACATCATTCACTTAGTCATACATACACACAAATTTATATTTATCACGTTTGATGATAATTTTGTTTTATATAATAAGATAAGTCTACCATTAATATTTTCTTTTATTTATGTTTTAATTAAAAAAAATTAAAGAAATAAAAAAAAACCAACTATTTTTTTTTTTAATTATGATTTTAGTAATTAAAAGCTAAAAAAAAATAAATGTGATTTTTTTTTCTTCTAAAGCGAGTATACTTTTCAATTATAAAAAAAGGGTAAAAATAAAAATCAAACCTCGGATTAAGTTGATCCTCGAATGTACGACGCTATTGATATTGACCCCAAAAAAAGAAATGGTAGGTACGACTAGTACGTGGACATACGACCATCATTCTCGAACAGAACCTAGAAAACAAAAGAAGATATTAACTTTTACGTACGTAAATACAAACCACTATATTAATATCGCTATACATATATGTGTAGATATCGATAGGGATGGAGCGGGAGTGGATGTGCGCGGGTGAGGGTTGTGGGAGGGGGTAGGGCATTGATATCGATAGGGATGGAGCGGGAGTGGATGTGCGCGGGTGAGGGTTGTGGGAGGGGGTAGGGCATTGAAAGGCAGAAGGAGCTCCACCTCGGTGAGAGGAAAGGGCATGTGGTGTGTAAGGGCACTCTACTCCAAGTTGCACTTTTGGTCGTTGTTGTTAGAAAGGATAGGTATAATGCATGTGCCCTTTAATTTACTCCAAGTTGCACTTTTGGTCGTTGTTGTTAGAAAGGATAGGTATAATGCATGTGCCCTTTAATTCCCCGCTATCATTTTTACATCCCTCACATCCCTATCCGGCGTCCCACACGCTGAGACAGATAGGGCCACTTAATATCATTTTTACATCCCTCACATCCCTATCCGGCGTCCCACACGCTGAGACAGATAGGGCCACTTAATATTACGTTTAAAAGTTGGATGAGTCCAGATGGTTGCAGTACCCTAACCAGAGACCTATTAATCCTTGTTTTCACACTGACACACACCTACTTGCATCCCTCAATCTGTACGGGTCTGTCCTTCCTTCTTCCTTTTTCCGCCTTGCCCTAATACTTTGGGTCGGTCATTCAACTTATATTAATCTACTTTTGTTCGAGTGATAAAGAGATTTCTTCCTGTTAGTTAAATGGGATTGAATATAGAAATTATCCATGACCTTGACTCTCTCTAGATCCTCACTTTGTCTCGAAGCCCATCACTATACCTATATTGTCCGCTTTAGTTTGTTTCATATTCCCGGCAACTTTGCAATTTTTAAAACGCGTCCGTTAGGGTAAGAAATTCTTTAGTTTGTTTCATATTCCCGGCAACTTTGCAATTTTTAAAACGCGTCCGTTAGGGTAAGAAATTTTTCGTTACCCTCTCCAATCGACGTGGGATCTCATAATTCACCCTTCTTGGGGACCTAGTGTCTGCGATGACAGACCTAATCGATATGGGTTCTCACAATCCACCCCCTTTGGAGACCCAACATCATCCTCGATGCCATATCACCCGGTGTCGAGCTCTGATACCATTTGTAACATCTCAATCCTACCAGTAATAAATATTGTTCTATTTAGGTTTTTCCTTCTTCTTAAGGCTTTTAAAACAGGTCTGTTAGAGAAAGATTTTTCACATTTTTATAAGAAATGCGTTCGTTTACCCCTTGGGGAGTGACCCGATCGAAGGTAATTGAAATATGAGGTAGAAACAAAAGTAGAGAGTCGGGGGTGTAACTTGTAATTTAATTAATTTTAGTGTTGGGTGAAGGGGACATGAAATTAATTGGTTGGAAATGGATGATTAAAAGGATTAGAGAGAGAGAGAGTTGGAGAAGGATTAAATAAGTATGATCCAAAAATTAAAAATTAATATTAATTTTTAATTAAGAAGTACAGACCCAAATGGAGAGGGCCTCCCGAGTAAATAATAACATTTCGATTAATTTTTAATTAAGAAGTACAGACCCAAATGGAGAGGGCCTCCCGAGTAAATAATAACATTTCGGTATGGTTTTTATTTTCGTCAATATTATGATTTTTACCCGCCTGTTTGGCCTTGCATGGCATCATCTCAAGTTTTTCTATTTCCATTTCCGCCCCTCTGAGATTTCCATTTTCTTCCACTTTCCTCCTCGTATTTTCCTCATAATTACTTTTCTTGCCCACCGCTTCAACGTCGTCGTTTGGTGTGTTAATTTCAACTTCCTTTTCCGTACTTTCTTCATTGGAGTCAGCTTTGGGAGTACTACTTTTCAAAATGCTCAGTCGAAGGCGGCCCTGGCTTCGTTCGGCATGGAAATACGAGAGCCTCGACGGAGCCTTCACCGCCTGCATTATCAACCTTCCGTCTTCGCGATACGACCGTACTCGAATCGAATCCTCGCCGGCGATTGTCGTTAGAGGCGGTGGAAATAGTTTCTTGTTACCTTGATTATCCGATTTCACTCGCTTCCTCGTCGAAGATCGCTCGATTTTCAGATCGGAGAAAACAGCGTCCTCCTCGAGAAAATCCGCTCCAGTCTCGTTGCCTAAATTTTCAGTACAGAGCGCCAAGCTCTTATCGCTCAGAGTAGAACGAGAGCGCTTGACGAGCGGATGAACGTAGGCGGATTCTAATTCCTTGGTCGCCATTGGAGATTTGGCTTCACGGCGGACGACGTCGTCGGATTTCTTCGGAGCATCGGAAGGAGGAAGAGGAAGAAGAGAGTTAGTAGCGTTGTGGTAATTAGAAAGAATGTGATTAACATCGTCGCATTGGTTTAGGGATTTGGAAGAATCGAGATCGAGAAAACAGGATTTGAAAGCGGCGAATTCAAAAGGCGGAGGGATTTGAGATTTGAATTTGATGTGAGGCCAGGTAGTCTCGATGAATTGAGAGTCTACACATGGTTGAAGGCTCCGATGAGAATTTGATGTGAGGCCAGGTAGTCTCGATGAATTGAGAGTCTACACATGGTTGAAGGCTCCGATGACAGACCATTGTCGCCATTGGAGAGTGGAGGTTTGAATTTGGGGATTTCAGAGAGAGAGAGAGGGAAAGAGAAGAAGATGGATAAGCGAGAAGGTGAATGGTGAATGGTGAAGGGTGAAGGATGGGTATTTGTAGTCCAAAAAAGTGTCGGGAGGTAGTGAGGAGTGAGGTAGAGTGGTGGGGGCCTATTCGTTCCACTTAAATTATACAACCTCAATATGCCCAAACACTACCTTACAATACTAACCTTCCCCAAAAATGTATGCTATTGCTATTGTCCTAAACCTCGATCATTTCATCTGTATTTCTACGACATGACTACGTTATCTACTTATCTTGAATTGCGTTTAAGAGAGGGAAGGAAACCGACACCTAGAAGCTACAAAAACTCTCTCTAAAGAACTCAAAGTTTGGGAGAAAGGGTGCCTTCTCAGAAAGGCGGTTGCAGTGACTCGACATGAGCGATTGTTTACTAAAAACATAGGTCTCCGCAAAATCTTAAGACTATGTATGGGGTTGACGCCTACCCAGTGCTT